CCTGGCATTCCTTATTGAGGAAGACTACTGCGACTCCGACAGCGACGACGATGACGACTACGACGACGACGACGTGGAGTACCCGGATGAGGATGAGGAGGAAGAAGGGGCGTGGAGCGGTAACATCATCGACATTGATGCGATCCTTGCTGGACCTGAAGGGCCGGAGTGGTGGGAGGCTATGAAAGACGAGATGCGGAGCTATGAAAGACTTGTACGACCAAGGCATGTGGGTCATGGCTAAGCAACCTAAGTGACCGAAGGTCGTGGGAGTCATGTGGTTGCTAAGGAAGAAGCTGAAACCAGATGGCACAATGGAGAAGTACAAGGCGATGCTTCGGCATCGACTACGACAACACCTATGCTCCGGTCGGCAGCTACACCTCAGTGCTTGTCCTCCTCGCAGCTACACCTCAGTGCTTGTCCTCCTCGCAGCTACACCTCAGTGCTTGTCCTCCTCGCAGCTACACCTCAGTGCTTGTCCTCCTCGCAGCTACACCTCAGTGCTTGTCCTCCTCGCAGCTACACCTCAGTGCTTGTCCTCCTCGCAGCTACACCTCAGTGCTTGTCCTCCTCGCAGCTACACCTCAGTGCTTGTCCTCCTCGCAGCTACACCTCAGTGCTTGTCCTCCTCGCAGCTACACCTCAGTGCTTGTCCTCCTCGCAGCTACACCTCAGTGCTTGTCCTCCTCGCAGCTACACCTCAGTGCTTGTCCTCCTCGCAGCTACACCTCAGTGCTTGTCCTCCTCGCAGCTACACCTCAGTGCTTGTCCTCCTCGCAGCTACACCTCAGTGCTTGTCCTCCTCGCAGCTACACCTCAGTGCTTGTCCTCCTCGCAGCTACACCTCAGTGCTTGTCCTCCTCGCAGCTACACCTCAGTGCTTGTCCTCCTCGCAGCTACACCTCAGTGCTTGTCCTCCTCGCAGCTACACCTCAGTGCTTGTCCTCCTCGCAGCTACACCTCAGTGCTTGTCCTCCTCGCAGCTACACCTCAGTGCTTGTCCTCCTCGCAGCTACACCTCAGTGCTTGTCCTCCTCGCAGCTACACCTCAGTGCTTGTCCTCCTCGCAGCTACACCTCAGTGCTTGTCCTCCTCGCAGCTACACCTCAGTGCTTGTCCTCCTCGCAGCTACACCTCAGTGCTTGTCCTCCTCGCAGCTACACCTCAGTGCTTGTCCTCCTCGCAGCTACACCTCAGTGCTTGTCCTCCTCGCAGCTACACCTCAGTGCTTGTCCTCCTCGCAGCTACACCTCAGTGCTTGTCCTCCTCGCAGCTACACCTCAGTGCTTGTCCTCCTCGCAGCTACACCTCAGTGCTTGTCCTCCTCGCAGCTACACCTCAGTGCTTGTCCTCCTCGCAGCTACACCTCAGTGCTTGTCCTCCTCGCAGCTACACCTCAGTGCTTGTCCTCCTCGCAGCTACACCTCAGTGCTTGTCCTCCTCGCAGCTACACCTCAGTGCTTGTCCTCCTCGCAGCTACACCTCAGTGCTTGTCCTCCTCGCAGCTACACCTCAGTGCTTGTCCTCCTCGCAGCTACACCTCAGTGCTTGTCCTCCTCGCAGCTACACCTCAGTGCTTGTCCTCCTCGCAGCTACACCTCAGTGCTTGTCCTCCTCGCAGCTACACCTCAGTGCTTGTCCTCCTCGCAGCTACACCTCAGTGCTTGTCCTCCTCGCAGCTACACCTCAGTGCTTGTCCTCCTCGCAGCTACACCTCAGTGCTTGTCCTCCTCGCAGCTACACCTCAGTGCTTGTCCTCCTCGCAGCTACACCTCAGTGCTTGTCCTCCTCGCAGCTACACCTCAGTGCTTGTCCTCCTCGCAGCTACACCTCAGTGCTTGTCCTCCTCGCAGCTACACCTCAGTGCTTGTCCTCCTCGCAGCTACACCTCAGTGCTTGTCCTCCTCGCAGCTACACCTCAGTGCTTGTCCTCCTCGCAGCTACACCTCAGTGCTTGTCCTCCTCGCAGCTACACCTCAGTGCTTGTCCTCCTCGCAGCTACACCTCAGTGCTTGTCCTCCTCGCAGCTACACCTCAGTGCTTGTCCTCCTCGCAGCTACACCTCAGTGCTTGTCCTCCTCGCAGCTACACCTCAGTGCTTGTCCTCCTCGCAGCTACACCTCAGTGCTTGTCCTCCTCGCAGCTACACCTCAGTGCTTGTCCTCCTCGCAGCTACACCTCAGTGCTTGTCCTCCTCGCAGCTACACCTCAGTGCTTGTCCTCCTCGCAGCTACACCTCAGTGCTTGTCCTCCTCGCAGCTACACCTCAGTGCTTGTCCTCCTCGCAGCTACACCTCAGTGCTTGTCCTCCTCGCAGCTACACCTCAGTGCTTGTCCTCCTCGCAGCTACACCTCAGTGCTTGTCCTCCTCGCAGCTACACCTCAGTGCTTGTCCTCCTCGCAGCTACACCTCAGTGCTTGTCCTCCTCGCAGCTACACCTCAGTGCTTGTCCTCCTCGCAGCTACACCTCAGTGCTTGTCCTCCTCGCAGCTACACCTCAGTGCTTGTCCTCCTCGCAGCTACACCTCAGTGCTTGTCCTCCTCGCAGCTACACCTCAGTGCTTGTCCTCCTCGCAGCTACACCTCAGTGCTTGTCCTCCTCGCAGCTACACCTCAGTGCTTGTCCTCCTCGCAGCTACACCTCAGTGCTTGTCCTCCTCGCAGCTACACCTCAGTGCTTGTCCTCCTCGCAGCTACACCTCAGTGCTTGTCCTCCTCGCAGCTACACCTCAGTGCTTGTCCTCCTCGCAGCTACACCTCAGTGCTTGTCCTCCTCGCAGCTACACCTCAGTGCTTGTCCTCCTCGCAGCTACACCTCAGTGCTTGTCCTCCTCGCAGCTACACCTCAGTGCTTGTCCTCCTCGCAGCTACACCTCAGTGCTTGTCCTCCTCGCAGCTACACCTCAGTGCTTGTCCTCCTCGCAGCTACACCTCAGTGCTTGTCCTCCTCGCAGCTACACCTCAGTGCTTGTCCTCCTCGCAGCTACACCTCAGTGCTTGTCCTCCTCGCAGCTACACCTCAGTGCTTGTCCTCCTCGCAGCTACACCTCAGTGCTTGTCCTCCTCGCAGCTACACCTCAGTGCTTGTCCTCCTCGCAGCTACACCTCAGTGCTTGTCCTCCTCGCAGCTACACCTCAGTGCTTGTCCTCCTCGCAGCTACACCTCAGTGCTTGTCCTCCTCGCAGCTACACCTCAGTGCTTGTCCTCCTCGCAGCTACACCTCAGTGCTTGTCCTCCTCGCAGCTACACCTCAGTGCTTGTCCTCCTCGCAGCTACACCTCAGTGCTTTCCTCCTCGCAGCTACACCTCAGTGCTTGTCCTCCTCGCAGCTACACCTCAGTGCTTGTCCTCCTCGCAGCTACACCTCAGTGCTTGTCCTCCTCGCAGCTACACCTCAGTGCTTGTCCTCCTCGCAGCTACACCTCAGTGCTTGTCCTCCTCGCAGCTACACCTCAGTGCTTGTCCTCCTCGCAGCTACACCTCAGTGCTTGTCCTCCTCGCAGCTACACCTCAGTGCTTGTCCTCCTCGCAGTAGCCGCAGCCATGGACCTGGATTTGCTGCAACTAGATGTCAAGAATGCCTTCTTGCATGGCACCATCGACCATGAGATCTTCATGCAGCAGCCTCCCTACTTCACTGATGGCACCGACAAGGTGTGCTTGCTGCAGAAGAGCCTCTATGGTTTGAAGCAGAGTCCGCTCCTTTGGATACCGGAAGAGCCCGGTAGACCAGACCCTTTACTACAAGGATGGTCCTTCAGAGAAGCGCGTATGGCTCACGGTCTACGTCGACGATCTGTTAGCGGCGAGTGAAGGGAAGCAGCTGCTGCAGGAGCTGAAGGAGTTGCTGGCAAAGGCCTTTCAGCTGCGTGAAGTGGACCCTATGGAGCGCTACCTGGATTGCAGATTGTGCGTGATCGCCCCAACCGCACTCTCTTCCTGCACCAGGATGCATACATGGCGAAGGTGCAGCAGCGGTTCTTCAACGGCGCGCCATCAAAGACCGGCCCGGCACGGCCCAGCCCCACCTCTCCTCGTCCCTCTTCTACACGTGTTGTCGCCCCGCAATGTTCTCTCTGTGTCTTCGGGGGTTCGATGCAGACCGATTCTGGACTGTCGTTGCGCACACAACTGAGGTCTACATCAGTTCCACCTTGGAAGTCAACATGTAAGCAGTCAATAGGAGACACCTCGACAGGAATCACTCCAGTAGGGAGCACATAAGAGCCACCGTCCTGAAGGCACCTCACAAGGGCTATTTTTGCATCACAGGTCACCATTTCAGCCCGCGTTATACATGCGGGGATCCCTTTCCTTCATCGCGTTCTGTGGCTCTCACATCTGCGAGTCCCTTCTCCCCGCTCCCCTCTCCCCGTCCCGTCCCCCACCCCCCCCAAACACCCCGCCCCGGGCCTAACTCTCCCCTTCCCCTCCCCACCCACCCCCACACCCCCCCCTTGCAGCACGGCGACGTGCCAGAGCTCGCTGTACGTGTTCCGCGTGCACAGCGCCGCAGCCAAGTCGACCTTTGGCTACCAACGCATCTTCTTCCCGCCGACCGCTGCCAATCTGGTGGAGTTCACTACCTGCGCCTTCCAGCCTAACGGCACGACCTACTCGTGCTCGATGTCCAGCCAACCCCCGCACACAACCCCGTACGTGGCGAAAGGGACGGCGGGGACTCTGATCAGCGCCCAGTTCCCTAAGCCCACCAGCTACAACGTGGGCATCGCTGTGAATGGCATGACCAGGTCTGCAGGCTGAAACGCCAACGTGACCAACTTTTGACGCGTGGCTGGCCGTGACTTGCTTGGGCGACGGCAGGAATGCTGCTGGGCTGTCCCTCCAGCACGGCCCCAATTTCTCCTGGAGTTCTCGATAAGGGGTCGTGCTCGATACAGGGGGGTGCGGATCTGGGTTTAGGAGTTAGGGTGTTTGATTTAGGTTACGGTTTGTTTACCCCTCTAGTTTGTGCATCATTGCTATGTTTGATAGCCGATGAATGGATTAATCAATACTAGCTCGACGTGAAAAGCCCAGACTGGACCATTTCTGAGTACAGTAACTCGTTCCAAGTGTCTGGCACTCCAGGCAAGCACCAATGCACACAATCTCCGATAACCCCTCCCGAGTGAGCCATCGCTGGAGCAGCAGCACCAACCAGCGCGTCTGGTGATTCCTGTGTGGGGGCTTCAGCCAACCCCACTCCCTTCGAAGACCCATTCCCCGGTACTTGTGGTCTTCCCGCCTCGAGCCGGCGTCGCCTGTGCGGCTTTGACTCCGCCAATGGGGACGCTTGCTCTTCTGAACCCTGCAGGTGTGACTCCCCACTCCGTGATTCTACCGGTGGCAGCATTTGCATTTGTGACAACACCGGGCGTGACAGTAACGGGTGTGGCAGAGCAGGGGCGTTCTTAACCTGGAAGAACCCCACAACATGGGCGTCGGCTCGCATTTTGGAGAGGGGGAACACGTCCAGCAGACGCAGCCAGGGGACCATGGGCTCAGGGGAGGCCGAGGTGGGCACAGATGTGGCCGAGGGTGGTGTGACAGGGCCGGTTGTAGCAGCGATATCTGTGGCAGAAAGAACAGCAGTGCTGGCAGCTGCTACAGCTTCCTCTGCTGCGGCATCACGGCATTCGGCAGCATGTGGGCAGGCTGTAGCGGGTGATAGGGGCTCCTGGAGGGAAGAGGTCCGAGGAAGAGGTCCGAGGAAGAGGTCCGAAGAAGAGGTCCGAGGAAGAGGTCCGAGGAAGAGGTCCGAGGAAGAGGTCGGAGGGAAGAGGTCCGAGGGAAGAGGTCCGAGGAAGAGGTCGGAGGGAAGAGGTCGGAGGGAACCAGAAGAAAGTGAAAACAAGGGAGGGAAAGAGAGACGCACATGGATTGGCAGCGGCATCTGTAGCCGCACTCAAGCCTGCTACAACATTCGGTGCACGAGTAGAGTGCACAGACACATGTGAAGTGCACAAACACATGTGAAGTGCACATCTACACGCCCAGTGTGGCCTGCAAAGCTGGCACAGATTCTTCGCTGTCCATACTCGCCTCATACATGTCGCACTCACCTTATACATGTCGCAGTCACCTCATACATGTCACACTCACCTCATACATGTCACACTCACCTCATACATGTCGCAGTCACCTCATACATGTCGCACTCACCTTATACATGTTGCACTCACCTCATACATGTCACACTCACCTCATACATGTCACACTCACCTCATACATGTCGCACTCACCTCGTACATGTCGCACTCACCTCGTACATGTCGCACTCACTTGATACATGTCGCACTCACTTGATACATGTCGCACTCACCTCATACATGTCACAGCGACCACCCGTTTGGAAGGTACCCCCAGTGAAGTGAACGGGAGAGGCAGAGCGGAGGAAGATGACGGGTAGAGGGACACGAGCTGACTCAGTGGCCGGGGTAGCTGACTCAGCAGTAGCGGCTGCTGACTCAGCAACGGTGCGGGCGAGAGAGCGCATGACTGAGACGAGAGCCTGCCTTCGAAGGTCAGCCAGGAAAGCTGTTGACTTGAGTTGACCCTCGGAGGGCATGAACGGGCGGGCGGCTGGCGAAGACTTGACGGCGAACTGGTTGGCTATGAAACTGGTGCAGGGAGGGGGTGGAGCGATGCGGAGGGTATGGAGAGATGGGGAGACAATGGCAGCGAGGGGGTTGGCAGCACTTCCTACTGCCCCGCCTACCACTTCTCATAGGACCTGAGGCCCCCCTACTGCCCCACCTATCCCCCTCCCCTCATAACCCCACCTCACACTCACACACCTCTCTGCACTCCAGCGGTTGGCAGCCCTCTGCAGGACCACACCCAGTCTCCGCAGGTTGCTCTCACGCACTGAGCCTCCCCTGCTCCCCTGCTCCCCTGGACCACTGCCCGCCTCTCCTCACCACCCTAACTCGCACGCACCCGCACACTCACACGCACCCGCACACTCACATGCACCCGCACACTCACACGCACCCGCACACTCACACGCACCCGCACACTCACACGCACCTCTGTGCACTCCAGTGGTTGACGGTACTCAGTACAACCACGTCTAGCCTGAGCAGGTTGTGCGTGAGCCACTCGTCCGCCTCGTACACGTGCACAACGCGCCGGTAGAACCGCCTCTGCCGCCCTGCCCCCCCCTCCCCCAGCTGCTGCCCCTTGCCTCTCCTCCCATTCCCCTCCTCCTCACTCTCCCCTTCCTTCTCCCCCGCTTTGTTCCTCTCCTTCCCTCCCCCCTTCCCTCCCCCATCCCCTCCCCCGTCCCCTCCCCCTTCCCCTCCCCCCTCTCCCCCCTCCTCCCCTTCCTCCCCCTCCACCTCCACATCAGTGGGCAGCAGCTCTTCCCGGCACAGCAGGTTGGAGGTGCGCTGGATGATGGTGGTGTTGCTGCCGGGCAGCCATATCGCCGCGCCCCTCGCAATGCCCAGCACGGCAGGGCCCCACGTGAGGTTGAACCTGAAGTCCACGTTCACCACCTGCACCTGCACGCCCTGCTGGGCGGCATTGCCAGGATTGACTTCATTGGCTGGGTCAATCCCCTGGGCCTGCTCCCAGGTGAGCACGTGCGGGTGTGGTGCGAGCAGGCAGAGCAGAGAGAGGAACTGCTGCCGGCTCAGAGAGTCGCCCACGAAGGCAATGGTGCGGTGGCGGAACCTGGACGTGTGGTGGGCGGGGCGGAGGAGCCATGGGTGGGGGGGGGAGGGGGGGGGCCTTGGTGTAAGGTGTTGTTTGGCGACTCAGGTATGAAAGTGAACAGCCGAGAGAGTCGCCCAGCAAGGCAACGGTGCGATGGCGGATCCTGGGAGCATGACGGGTGGGTGGGGGAAGGGAAAACGGGGAAGGAGGGAGACAGCAGCAGTACCCGGATACAATACCCGGATTGACAAGAGTCAGAGGCACGTGCTTGATGGGGACGACCGAGGCAGTGAAGGAAGGCGCAGGTCGCAGGTCACATCAGATATGGCAGGTCGCAGGCCCTTGCCTGGTGAGGAAATCCGAGGCATTGAAGGGCGGCAGATCGCACCCGTCCGGCTGCCACCGATACTCCTCAAACGCAAAGCCCCGCCACATGCCGTCCCCCTCTTCCTCCTCTTGGCCCCTTCTGTTTCTTCTCCCATCCTGCTGCTCCTCCTGCTGCCTCCCGTGCAGCTCTACGCGTTGCAACTGCTCTTTCTGCTGCTTCTCCCCTGCACTCGCTCCTACACTATGCGCGTCTAAACGATCCCCTCGCTCCGCCTCCAGCTCCTGCTGCCGTTGCTCTAGCAGCCGTCGCGTTTGCGAGTCAACGTCGTGGGATGCTGCATCCTGGTGTTGCTTGCTCTGTCGGTTGCTGTAACTGGGCCCATCATCTCTCCGTGGCCGTTGCATGCGGCGGCAGTTGAATTTTTCCCACATGCAGTTCGAGATCCAGAAACAGTCCTCGCCGTGATAGTAACGAGAGGTAGGCTTCGTCGCGTCCCTCACCCATCGACCTTGGTACAGGTGACAGTAACGGGAGGACCTTGAATGTTGCCTGGACCCCCAATCACGCAGTACCTGAGAAGCTTCGCGCTGCTCAGGTACGGTCTCCGTTTCTTCTGAAGATCGATGTGATCTTACTGATGGTTTTTCAGATAGGTTGTCAGGGTAATTTCCCCCCGGAAAGTTTTCTCCGGGCAGGAGGTCGTTCTGGCTGGTGCTGTCGTCGGTGACCAGCCAATAGGACGCGAGCACGGCTGAGACTACCAGCAGCAGAAATGCTCGATTGCCGAGAATATCTGTTCGCGAAGACATTTCGCACAGGCACTCGCGAAGGTCGCATGGAATCTCGCGGGAGGGAGAAGCGCCAGGTCACCCACCCCCGTTCCAGGCACTTGGTGCCTCCTAAGTACAAATCGTATCGAATCGTACAACAAACGCGTATGTATGGAGTTGGTCAGTCAGTCAGTCGTCTACTGCTGGCAGCCTCCTTGCACGCATCCCTATCATGAGACAAGCGCGGGTCATTTCAGACAGCGTGGCACAAGCAGAGGGAGATAGCCATGGCTATGATTGATAGAAATTGGTAGAGGAATGGAGGCATACTGCTGTTGGATACAGAACTACATGTGTTGGTGAAATAGCCCCATCCTCGCTAAAGTAAGTGCAGGTTACACTGTTTGATTCCAACATATGAAAACAGATGTCAAAGAGCCCTATTGTTTCCACTGTATGTTTTTCTCGTAAATCGTGAATCCCCCCTCGCCTCCCCCAGAAGCTTTCTTCTCTTTGCCAGCTTCCCTCCCCGCTCTCTCCTCTAAACCACCCGCCATCACCAGCCTTTTCCCCAGCTCTCCTCACTCCGCCTCGCCTATTATCTCCCTCTTATCGCTCTAAGTCCACATCTATCCGCTTCTCGTATCGCGATGGCTCTCGTGGACTACGAGCGCGTGGCGCGCGCCGTGAAGGAGTGGCCCACGTGGCTGCTGCGCAAGGCCAAGGTCGCGGCGCAGTACGGCTTCGTGCCGCTCGTCATCACCGTCGGGATGCTCTACACCGAGCCGCAGCCGCACCTCCTGCAGCTGATTGGACCTTAGATTGACCTTATATCGAATCGACCCGTACATCGTTAAGTTTCGCGTCGTGCGTTTTATTACGGAGTTGGCTAATAGCAGAGTCGAAACCCCATGTCTTTCCGCGGATCAGGCTCGCACGAATTCCCTTGAAGCCGATACTGGCCGGTACTGGTCGATCTGGTCGACACCGAGGGATTGCTTTCGTGGATCCTGCAGCGGACTGAACGGACCGTAGAGTGTTTCTTCCCAGCGCCATATAAGCGGTGCGCCGGTTTGATTTTCCGTATCCAGCGCCCGTGGCAGATAGGCAGATACAGCGAGATTGCTCCCGTGCACTCGAATGGGGTTCTCTAGTAGAATTGGTTTCCATACCTTCTCTGCAGTGATTGGCTGGATGGTGGTTCTGTTTAAGGACTCTTAGTTACCTGTTTGCTTACACTAATAATGCAATGGTTTCGGCTGCTCCTACCTTCGGCCTTCACGACCCCACTCCTCACTCCACTCCACTCCTCTCCACCACCTGTGAATGACCTTCATGCCATAAGAACAGTTAGCTTTGTAGATGTGGTGCGCTTTGACGATAATAAGGGGCAATGTGAAGCCATGCTGGTGTCGATATAGGTCATCCCGGTCTTTCTATGAACAAATTGCATTTCACCTATTGAACATTGGTAAACATCTGCATTTTCCCGATAAGCATCTGTTTCTACAGTGCCCCGATTAATCAATTTCGCCGTTCCTGTTTTGGCCAGCCAGAAAGCTGGCAGGCGAACCACATTTCGAGTACCAATTCAATGCACCACTCTTCCACAGCCACCGCCGCCACCGCCGCTAGCGCCGCTCCCTTGCCGTTGCCCCGCGATTCGCCCGTCCATCCGTTCGCCACTTCACTCCGCACAACGCGATCCCTTTCGTTCTGCGCACACGCCGTATTGCGTTAACCCCTGCTGGTTGAAATACAATAAGATGACGCGAGAGCTCGCTACGATCATCACCGCGGCTGCCGCGCTTGTCGGTACCGGTCTGGGCCTGCTCTTATCGCGTACAGTGCTCAAACCTAAGCTATCCAAATCCACGATTAAGCACGTGGTGCTGACGAAATTTAAGGCGGATCGGACGGCTGAGCAGATTCAGGAGCTGATCGACGGCTATAGAGCTCTCACTGAGAAGATACCCGCGATGAAGGGATTCGAGTGGTGAGCTACTAGCTGAATGACCCTTGTCTCTTGCGCCATTTCTCCGCCATTCCTCGAAATATCCCCCATGATATCCCCCGGTGAAGAAGCCTACATCCCCCCGCTGCGCTTCCCCTTCCTGCCCCATCCCTGTCCTCCCTGTCCTCCCTGTCCTCCCTGTCCTCCCTGTCCTCCCTGTCCTCCCTGTCCTCCCTGTCCTCCCTGTCCTCCCTGTCCTCCCTGTCCTCCCTGTCCTCCCTGTCCTCCCTGTCCTCCCTGTCCTCCCTGTCCTCCCTGTCCTCCCTGTCCTCCCTGTCCTCCCTGTCCTCCCTGTCCTCCCTGTCCTCCCTGTCCTCCCTGTCCTCCCTGTCCTCCCTGTCCTCCCTGTCCTCCCTGTCCTCCCTGTCCTCCCTGTCCTCCCTGTCCTCCCTGTCCTCCCTGTCCTCCCTGTCCTCCCTGTCCTCCCTGTCCTCCCTGTCCTCCCTGTCCTCCCTGTCCTCCCTGTCCTCCCGGTCACCCCTGTCCTAAAGCATGAAGTCAGACCGGCCGTAGGGTACCTCCATCACTTTCTTTCCGCCTCATTGCATGCATTGCCCCCCTCCCTTGCCTGCATCTCCCCACTCTGCTTCTCCCCACTCTGCTTCTCCCCGCTCTGCTTCTCCCCGCTCTGCTTCTCCCCGCTCTGCTTCTCCCCGCTCTGCTTCTCCCCGCTCTGCTTCTCCCCGCTCTGCTTCTCCCCGCTCTGCTTCTCCCCGCTCTGCTTCTCCCCGCTCTGCTTCTCCCCGCTCTGCTTCTCCCCGCTCTGCTTCTCCCCGCTCTGCTTCTCCCCGCTCTGCTTCTCCCCGCTCTGCTTCTCCCCGCTCTGCTTCTCCCCGCTCTGCTTCTCCCCGCTCTGCTTCTCCCCGCTCCGCAGGGGCGGCGATGTGAGTGTGGAGGGCTTTCAAAAGGGCTACACGCACGTGTTCGTCTCCACCTTTGACGACGTGGCGGGCCGGGACGCGTACCTGGTGCACGAGGCGCACAAGGAGTATGCGGCTGTGCTGTTCGAGGGGCTGGAGGACGCCATTGTGCTGGACTATGTGCCCACGGTGGCTCTCTCACGGTTCTACTCTTGACTGAAACCAGCTTAGAACCTTTACTGTACCTGCAGCATAGAGCGCACAAGGAATTCGCAGACGTGCTGTTTGAGGGGCTGGGGGACGGCATTGTGCTGGTGGACTATGCGCCCACGGTGGCACTCATGGTTCTCCTGACTGACCTAACCATTGCCAGCAACCTCTAGCTATCCCTAGTGACAAAGCTCTTGGTACCATACATGTATTGCCGATGAAGGGAATTTGCTGCTGGATTGGGGTCGTTTGGTAACACACTACAGATGGTTACCATGCCTGGGAAGCCAACCCATCACAATAAGGAACATTACAGTACCAGCAACTCTATATGGGCTCTCTATTCGATGTGTTACTGCGGCTCGTACGGCTTGTCCCCAGGGGGCATGGGCTGTGGCGCATCCCTCAGCTGCAGCCGCTCCCGCATCTCCTCCTGCAACAGCCAAGAGTACGCCGCCCACCCGCCCGCCACCAGCCGCCCGGCGTTCACAGAAAGTTCCTGGAACGGAGAGCCCATCTGCTGCAGCTCCCTAAGTATGGCTGCTTTCAGGGGCGCTACCTGTGCAGGCTTATCTGAGGTGGAGTCTTTCCGCTTGCTGTGCCGGCCCCAGCCTGTGACTATATCGATGGCCTCGGGGATCTCATTGTGCCACTGGGGAATGGGGAATGGGGAATGGGGTAGGGAGGAAAAGGGGGGGGGGGGAGGGGAGGCAGAGAGAGAGGGTTGGAAGAGGGTTTGTGGAAATCTGGGGAGGAAATGGAGAGACGCAAGACTGCCATCATGAAACATAATTGGGAAGGTACGCTCACAACACAACAGAGCTAAGCAGCAGGAAAGCAACAGGGTACACTCTAAGTGGAGAAATACGCTTGGGCAGCCTAGCGTATTGCGTACATACGCTAGCGTATAATACGAATACGCTGTACGCTAGCTAAGTACGCAATACGCTAGCGTATTTCTTGGCGGGCAGCCCGGCAAGAAATACGCAAAAAACGGTGCGACAAATTTGCGACATGACGAAACCCCACAGGGATTTCGTCATGTCGCAAACCGAAATTTGGCTTTTCAAATCGTCAACCCAACCCCTTCGCCCCTCCCAACCACACAGCATCCCACCCAATCTGCGACTTCCAAACAACACCCAAAGAAATCTCCTTCCTCTCCCTCTCTACTCTACTCCAGCAGGGTTCAGCGCAGTTCACTCCTACGACGAAATCAGGGTACAAGTAAACTGGCGCGCTAACTTCAGTCATTTCTTCTTCCAAGCTAGCGCGACTAGCTAGCTGGTTTTTTAGCGACTGTTGCTATGTCGAACCCTCCACCTAGTCCTGGTTCCCACGGAACCGACGCGGGAACCTCCTGTGCTGCGTCTTCCTCTGACGAGCTCCTGGAGAACTCCACCCACGCTATCTTTAAGCATTTCAAGTTTAAGCATAAGGAGCACGGCAAGCAGCAAAAGTATTGGTGCAAGTACTGCCCCGTATCCTTGGTGCTCTGAACCCCCCCTCTTCCCTCCCCAAACAGGTTTTTTTTACCCCTGCCCGAGTTGTTTTTATACCTGCCTGCCAGAGCGTATTTCCTAGCGTATCCAATCCCATAATGAAGCGTACAGCGTATATACGCTAGCGTATAATACGCTGGACGCGTATTTCTCCACTTAGGGTACACTGACCTCTCTCCACTCATGGCATACTCTCGACCGTAAACGCCATGCTCTCCATGGCACACTCTTCACAATGCTCACCCGCCATGCGGTGCGCACCCCTCTTGCCATGCGGTGCGCACCCCTCTTGCCATGCGGTGCGCAACTCACCTGCCATGCGGTGCGCAGGTCTCTGAGCCACAGGAAGAGGAAGGCACAGGCCGAGCCAATGGAGTGCTCGTGCAGATCCACACTCCATATGCCCTCCTCCGTCCACATGCCCCTGCCACTCCCACCACCCCTCTGGTTGCCACCTTCTCCCTCACTCCCACTGCTGCTGCCCTCTCTTCGCCCCAACCCCCCTCTCCTCCCGCCCCGGCCCCCCTTGTGCATATCCTCCGCGCCCCCATAC